TATTTTTGTTCCATTTTGGTTTTTTTCTGGTCTGTAAGTCGATTCTCCGTCTGCAAGTCGAATCTAAATTTTGCTGCCAGAGAAGTCTGTAACTCGAAAAGTCTGTAAGTCGAGGGTCCACTGTATTGAAGTACTGGACAACACCAGCAATCTGTATGTTAGACTGCACAGGGAAGCCATTGAAATCCATAAACGTAAACAGAACTTCAACAGAAAGGAAGAAGGCCTAAAACTAAACACGGCCTGGCATCCAATTCTGAAAAATACAGCCTGCAAAAGGTCAACGAACTCTACCCAGCTACAAGGGCCAGGGATCATTGCACAATGCTGATCACCCTATCTCCTGAAAAAAAGACAAAAACTGTTTCCATAGCTATATAAATACTCAACTATCCAACAAACAGCAACAGAGCATGGACAGAGTTCCTACTCCAGTCCTCTGAAGATGCCGGCCACAGAGACTGGCGAAACATCAGGAAGAACAACCTTCAGAACACGGCCAAAGAGCCCCAACAACCATTAGATCCCAGCCGTGAAAGACTTCACAAATAAACTGCTTAAACTTTGTCTTTTATATAGTCACACTTGCTGATAATCAGTTACTCAGGTGCATTTGGTTAGCAGCACCTGGCTGATACTTAGCCTCTTAATTCCTGTGGAAGCAGTTAGGTTGTACTTAGTTTCTCACACATGGCTGCTCCATTTTGGTTTTATTTTTGTAAGATAAATTATGACACAGTGCAATATGTCATGGCGTTTTGGCTTTATTTTTGTAAGATAAATTATGACACCGTGCAATATGTCATGTGTTGTTCATCAGAGGTTGTATTTACCTGGTAGGGACCAGATGATTTTTATTTTGTCTTGAAACATAAAACCATAGAATTCAAAGAGGGTGTACTTCCTTTTTCACATGACTGTAGAAGAAGACTTCCTCCACTCCCTTTATATTACCAATTTTATGACGTTTTATGGATAAAATATTTCAAATCTATTTTGACTTGAATACTGTAGTTAATACAGGCCCAATGCATGTAATTGTGGGCCATGCTTGTCCAGAGATGATGCATGCCTTTCCATTTTTATAAACCAAGCTTGTGGACAGTATTCTTGGAGAGACATGGGCAATCCTGTGTGTGGATCTTGATCCTTTCTGACTCAAAAAATCAGGGTGGAAGACTGGAACAAGTTGAGTGAAGAAGGGAAGGGTCCCAATGTGACTAAAACAGGCAAGACTGAAGTCTTGGTTGAAAAGTCCTTTCCCAAGCCCCACCATATTGGATGGTTTACAATCTGTCTCCCATACCTCATTCTTGGGCACTGTATGTGAGAATGTGTTGATCTCTTCATTTCAAGGGTTTGGAGCAAATGGATTGAATAAGATCCATTTCAGTTGGGATGCAGGCCTTGTTACAGAACAGAGTTGGCAGTTGATTTGCTGTGTGCACCAGTTGGGCCTGCATACATAATTCTTGCAGCTGGCTAGGGCTGGGCATGAACAATAGCAACTGTATGGTCAGTATTATTTAGACAGCCCCCATCATGGATCTTGGCTGAATGCTACCCCCACATCCTTGAAGTGATGAGTGATGATGACCAATCCATTGCGCAAACTATCTGGAGGGCAGGTGTGTACTTGTATCCATTATGCCCAAATGATACTTTTGCCTCTGCTGCAATCCTTCAAATGCCAGCTATCATGATAAAAAATCTAACACTGCAGCCATTTCAGTTGATAGGTAAGTTGGTGGTTCAGGGAGGCAAACGGTTCAATTTTTATTTCTTGGTGTTATGTGATCTGCACCACTGCATCTTCATTTTGAGAAATTGGCGGGACATTGAGTAATTTGTATGTATTGCTTTTTTATAAAATGTATTTGCACCTCTTGCAACTATGAAAAAATTCCCTGCTATTGTTGCTACAGATACGGCTGAATAACATAGTTGCGGAAATAAAAACAAAAGACTTTGAAATAAGGGAACATAAGAAGAAGCAAAGAGAAATTCAGAGACAGTAAGAAAACTTTGAGCATGGATTTGATGGAATAACTGCTTTCACAAATTGGAGTTTTTTAATATCATTAACATCTTTCCCTAAAATGTTTTTGGCTTTCAGGATGAAAGAATTTGCTAAACTATATGATATTGTAAGACATGAGAGAAACAAGCTGGTAAATCTGGTGCATTGTGCCCGCCAAAAAACAAATGAAATTAAGGAGAAAGTCAAAATGCTGGATAATGAGATGGAAATCTTGCGGCACAATTTTGCAGTTAAGGAAAGGTGAGTATCTTGATAGATAATCGCTCTGAAAAATCATCTTTTTCTGACTTGCATTTAGAAACCCAGTTTTACTGTTTGCATTATGTTGCGTCGCAATCTTTTCCTTGTCCTGCCCAGTGAGTGCAGAAGGTGGGGGCCTTTAAAAAAATCCCTCAACTCCCTTTTCTTCATTCCTAGAAGCTGAATCTAACACCTCCGAAGATACAGACCTCTTCTGCATTTGGATTACATACAGCCACCAGCAATAGTATTAGTGCCTCCTTCCCTGCTCTCTTCCTGATTCTTTTCTGCAGAAGGAAAGGAGTGGATTTCCCAACTGCTGATCTCAGATGTAACCCTTTAGAACTTAGATTTCCTAGGTAGTTGACTTCACAGTCTCAGTCATGTGAATAAAGACCTTTGTCCCCAACTACAAAACCGTCACAGTTTTATTTCATTTTTAAAGAAAAATGTAAAGTAAAAATGCTAAATGGACAGCTGTAAAGGGAAGTAATCCTCTTTCTGGAAACAACAATATATTTCCTGGAAAGAGGACTACCAAAAATACAAAAAGAAAAGAAAAATAACTTTGATCACATCTACCTTGTAGGCCCCTTCCAACTTTACTTTTCTATGATTTTCTATGATTCTGCATAAATATTCCACCTATTCCACAGACTGCAGGGGGAAACTTTTGAAAAAACACAACCTACAAACAGTATTCGGGTCCACGACAAAAATACAACAAATGTTACAGTCAGCAAAGGAAAAAAGGGACCCCCTCACCACTGCAGGAGTATACTGGATACCTTGCAGTTGTGGACAGGTATATATTGGGACCACAAAACGCAGCATCCACACCAGAATCGAAGAACATGAAAGACACTGCAGACTAAAAAAATCAGAAAAATCGACAGTAGCTGAAGATGCCCTGAAACAAGCAGGACATGAAATCCTATTTCAGAACACAGATGTACTGGACAGCACCAGCAATAATTATGTTAGACTGCACAGGGAAGCCATTGAAATCCACAAACTCTGTCTGCCTGAGCAGAAGTAGAATGGTTTAATGATCATCCATGTCCATCAGGTGTGCTATAATGACTCAGCAAGGATGATGCAACCAGAGTGATGTAACCTAAATGAGGTAATGCTATGATGTAATCTAAACTGTGATTGGTTATGGAAATGTATATATGTAAAGCTGTATAGTTAGTATCATCTTCCTGCTTGAAGATCACTGCTACCCGTCATGCTGCCAGTTTGCTGTAAATACACTCTGCTGAAAAAAATGCTGCCGGACTCTGTGTGAGTTATTTTTGGACTGCCTGAACTTCAATTTACTCTGAAAAACCATCATTTCCGCCAGATACGCGGACACCTTTCCCTCTAACTCTAGCAGAGCTTCAACAAAAAAGAAGAAAGTCTAGAACTCAACAAAGCCTGGCTCCCAGCACTGAAAAATACAGCCTGCGATATGGTCAATGAACTCTACCCAGCCACAAGGACCAGTGATCACTGCAAACAAAACGACAAGCTAACGACACCCATCAATCACAGATAATCTCCCCCCCCTTATCACAATACACCCATAACAAAAAACAGCCTAATCACCATAATCAACCAATCTCCTGAAAAGGACAAACAGCTGATCTCACAGCAACAAATACTCAACTATCCCACACACTACACTAGAACACAGAGTTCTAACTCCTGTTCTGTGAAGATGCTGGCCACAGAGACTGGTGAAACGTTATGAAGAAAAACCTTCAGAACACGGCCAAACAGCCCAAAAAACCTACAACAACCAATAATTGTCATACTTGCCTCAGTGGCATTTGTGTGTGTGTGTGTATTCAATCTTTCCACAGATCTTGTTCAAGAAAAAAGAGTGGGCTCATAGTATCTTATCTAAGGTCCCCTAGAAATATAACTTTGTCTACATAATGTTTTTATGTTCTTCAGAAAATTACAAAAATACCAGCTAAAGCTTTCCAATAATATCGCAATCAAAGACAGCATCCAGTGTGATGTCAGCAAGGCACATCAAACACTCCAGGAGATGAAAGAAAAACGAGAGCAGCAGCTGATGGATGTTGAAAGACTCACCAACATGCTCACCCAGATAGAGGAAGAAATGGTTCAGCTACGAAAAAAATATGAAAGGGCTGTTCAGCGTCGAAACGAGAGGTAGGAGGCAAAATAACCTACAAGGCGCAGAGACTGATCCTATAATATTTCATCTGTATAATAATCTCCATGTTATATCTCATGTCATGTGCCCTAGGGGACAGAAGTAACCAAGTTGGGGCACAGGGTTAGCTAGTGGGTTTTGGGTATTTTTGTCTTTGTCATGGTGGGGCTTAGTTTCTTTGACAGAGTGACATACAGTATTAAAAGTTGAGAAACACTGCAGTACGCCTACATACTGTGCCTCATTATTCTATTGTGATCTTTGGATTGCAGGGATATGATATGATAATGACTTGTACACCTATTAAAACTGAACAGGGAAATCACCGTGGAAAGAATAACAAGTGGGCCAAGACCCTTTGTAATATCAATATATATTTTAGGTTGTGTTTCTAGTGAACATAAAGAAGCTTGTTTCCAAGTAACTATGCTTGGATGTCCTGATATGTTCTCTACAGATATGTTCTCTACATATACATACAGTAGTGTCCTTAATGTGGTGCAGTCCAGATATGGGGCTCAGTTTCTTTGACAGAGTGACATACAATATTAAAAGTTGAGAAACACTGCAGTACAGTGGTGCACTGTGCCTCATTATTCTATTGTGATCTTTGGATTGCAGGGATATGATTGTATAATGACTTGTACACCTATTAAAACTGAACAGGGAAATCACAGTGGAAAGAATAACAAGTGGGCCAAGACCCTTTGTAATATCAATATATATTTTAGGTTGTGTTTCTAGTGAACATAAAGAAGATTGTTTCTAAGTAGCCATGCTTGAATGTCCTGATATGTTCTCTACAGATATGTTCTCTACATATACATACAGTAGTGTCCTTAATGTGGTGCAGTCCAGATTAATGTATTATATCAGTTCTGAGCTACCTTACAATCTAATAACTGATCTTTACATATTTAGACAATGATTTTGTATCAACATGTGGTTTGATTCTTGAATAAAAATTTCAGATTGCTCTTACAATAACAAATGCAGGTTAAAAAGAATAATACAGTGGTGCCTTGCTTTACTGTTTGCCCCACATTACGATGAAACTGCATTACGACGATCTTTTTGCGATAGCAATTGCGATCGCAAAACGATGGTCTGAATGGGTTTTTTTCGCTTTGCGATGATCGGTTCGCTGCTTCGGGAACCAATTCTTTGCAAAACGATGATTTTAGAACAGCTGATCGGCGGTTTCAAAATGGCTGCCGGGTAAACAAAATGGCTCCCCGCTGTTTTCTGGGACGGATTCCTCGCTGCACAGGCACCAAAAATGGCCGCCGTATGGAGGATCTTCACTGGACAGTGAGTTTCCAGCCCATTGGAACACATTGAAGGGGTTTCAATGCGTTTCAATGGGCTTTTTATTTTCGCATTGCGACGTTTTCATTCTACAGTGATTTCGCTGGAAAGAATTAATGTCGTAATGCGAGGCACCACTGTAATACTTAAACATTTCATCATTACTTAATCAATGTGATTATGCAAACAAAACAGAGGTTAAAATGTGTTGTCCAATCATGTTTTTTTTAATAAGAGCAGTTGGCTGGTTGTTTAAGGAAAAGGTTCTTAATCTATCTATCTACATGTCTATCTAGAGATACACTATTTATTTTGTCATTGGCCAGTCACACATGGAAAAAAGTGGGTTTTTAAAGGGACTTAATTTTGCTATATGGTTCTGTTTTGAATTATTTTTAATTCAAAAGCATTTAATATGTATTTCAACTGTATTTTAATATCATAAGCTATTGTGTATGCTTTTGCTGTATTTCCTTCTGTCAGCGTCTGTTTTAATCTTAATTGTGAGCCACTTTGGATCCCAGTCTGGGAGGAAGGTGGGGTATACATCAAATATTGAAATAATTTTTAGGCCCAGCAGATCCTAGTTAATAGAATTGTTCTCAAGTTAACAGACTGTTAAGAAAGAAGACAAAGACAGTTTAATAGAAAAGCCCAATGTGTCTCCTAAAATTTCATTTTGGTTTTATTTGTAGTGGCGTTCAGCTCATTGAGCGTGAAGAAGAAGTGTGTATTTTTTATGAAAAAATAAATATCCAAGAGATGATGAGCCGGAATGGTGATATTGAGATTAATGTGATGGATGAAAAAATCCGCTTCTTGAAGCTGAAGCTGACCGAGAAAAAAAGGCATATTGAGTTATTATTGAGAACATTGCCCATGAAAAGAGGTTTAGATGCTGATTTAGTAGTCCTTCAGATTCAAGTGAGTACAATTGAATATATTCTCTTTCCCCACCTGGATTGTTTAATTTTAAAATGGTAAATGGTTGCACTTGGTGGTCTTTGGTAGGATTATGCATAAACCAAGCAAAGCCAGTAATAATCTCTCTCCTGTCCTCCAACAAACCTCTAGTGTTGCACTGCAGGTGCAGTTCGGTTGTACACACTGATTCTGCTTCCATTTAGCTTATGCCTACTGAAATAATTTACAGTAGTTGGGACACACTGTCAGTCAGGCCTAGGTCTATGGTCTCAGTTGAGGTATTCCTCAAAACTATGGCCTCTGGTCATCAAGTAGCACAACCCATAAATGTTAACACATAGATTTTGTGTTTGGACGTCTTTGTTAGGAAAGACCTCAGAATGTCTGTCACCCCTTTTCGGACTTGAACTTCATTGATGAGGAATAGTTCGAGCGACATTGTTGGTCTTCTCTTGAGGTTTTCTCAGCTTCTGACAGGTGTTACAGGACCAAAGGTACTTGATAACATCTTTGCCCATCCCTTCCCTGTGGACCAATGTCTCCCAACTCTTGGAGACCACTAGCATGACCACTAGGGTGGTCATGAGCTAATCTCAGGGCCACTAGCTTTCTCTTAAGCTGCCAGTCTTCCGTTGGAGACCACTAGCATGACCACTAGGGTCAGGGCTACTAGCTTTCTCTTAAGCTGCCAGTCTTCCCTGAGGCAGGCATCCTTGTACAATAGGATCCTACCAAGAACAAAACTGGACTTCATACAAGAACTGAGTGGCCTAGTGTTGGATTTCACTTCTTTTTGAGCAGTTTGAAGGCTCTCATGTGCTTCATGCTCCCTCTGGAATTGCTCTGTCATGACTGGGATCTGTTGTTGCTCCTGGGGTGGAAGACATGAGTGAAGCTCAGACCTCTAATAGTACCAGTGGTGTGGGTGTCCTCACTACAGATGAGGGATGGTCCACTTAAGTACTGGACTCCATGGCACATATTGCTGGAGCATCTGGGGTTGATACAACTGCTGCTTCAGGGATATATTCTGGAACTAGTGCCATCTCTGGTTCCACCGGCTGTTCCACACAGGCTGCTTCCCTAACTGGTGCCACCTGGGACTTTGGGTTTGACTCTTTTGCCACTGGTTCCCTCCTCTTCCCCTACCATGGTTGGAAGATACTGGGACTTAGGCTTCAGTGCCTTTCTGGGTCCTTGGCACCTCAAAGTTGGTGACGTCTGTTGCTACATAAGAGGTCTTTGACTTGATGAGGTTAGCCTCTCTGCTTAGTGTGGCTGTACAGAACTATGTCTACCTCTCCTGTGGATGATTTCAGAAAGGTGAAAAATTTTCATGGATTCTATGTAAGGCAGAGGGCTTTGGAGGAACACTTTAGCAAATTTCCCCCAATCCTCTCCCCGATCAGAGTAAAGTATAATACAGCTATTTGTGTTTCAGTGGGTAACTCATCCATGATTGATTCTTGAAAGTTATCCTCTTTTACTGTGCTCCACTAAATGTCCTTTCAGAGCTCAGAACAAGTATTGTTAGAGATGGACTTTAACTATTTGGAGCAGCTGCTTTATAGAACATGAGCAAAACTGCTATGGTAGTGTATGTGTATATGTTCTCAGACATTGCTCTTAATTCTTGCTGTAGGGTCTAAAATTCAAAGTCCAGACATAGTTCTGGTGTAGTGAGCGTATGGTGAGGGAATAATTTGGCATTGTCTTCTAAACCTTTTTGCAGAACAAAGTTGACAAACTATTATATAGTTTTAGGATTTCCCTTCTTATATTCTGACTAAGGATTAAATGAATCAATTTGTTTAAAAATTAAATACTGCATTTTGACCCTGATGACTGAAGTCTAAGTTATACTGGGGAGGTGGAACTGGTAAAACAATTCCCTAAATATCTCACCTACCTTCAAATCCCCATTAGGGTTGCTATGCGTTGGTTCCAACTTGACAACATATAACATGACAGCCTTCGTAATAATAAAACTAAATAATAGTTTTAAGCTGGAACAATGTCAGTTGGTAAAAATTGAAGTTGGCACCAGATTGTGTAGAATTGTCTTGTGTAGAGGATGATCAGATAGATGGTCAGAGAGGGAGCTTAATGGAGGTTTGAACCTCTCTTTTAGGTGTACTTTAACGTGATGGTGTTTTGTATTGCAGCGGTTAAGTGCTCTTGCTGAAATGGCAACAACAGAGGGGAATGGGTACAAACTCAGAATTAGTTGTCTCCGTCTGTTCTTGTCTGTTTGTACCATCAGCTACCCAACTTCTGGTCCTCTCAGGTCTATGGTTTTGATTGTACTTGGGATAGATTGCATGCAATTATTGTTGCATAGGAATAACATTTTTAAAAAGAGAATGCATGTGGGATTAATGTAAGCAGAAATGCACTTTTACTCCTATTGCAGTAGAATAGTAGCTCAATTCACTAAGCCTACTATATGGAGGCTGTTCTGCCTACTGCTAACAAGCCTTGTGTTGGACACAGTGAGAGTTTCAGTTCTTGTTTTTAGTGTCAAGAAACACCATGGAGCTGCTCACTGCTCAGGACATTCATTCCTTTCTTTCTCGAAAGGCTCATTTAATTTTGACCTTATCAGCAAATCGTAATTGTTTCCATGCCAGTTCTGTTCAATCCTGCATACTTTTGACATATCAAGACTGCTGGTGTTTCCATATGAAAGAAGCTGAGTCACTGGGCCCTGGACTATACCTCTGCTCACTTTTAAAATCATATATGAAACAGAGTTTCTACAGATCCTCTGAGGAATGCACAAACAGCTGGAATAATTAGAAATGCATGTGGAAAACGTATTTCAGTATGGGTCCTGTGGCACATTGCTATCTAGATGCAGTGGTAGCAGGAGGTAAAACTGCAAGAGTTGTCTTCACCTTTCTGGATTTTCTTATACATATGAGCTAGAAGAGACCTTGGCAATTCATTTTTACCTCTCACAATCTTCCAGTCAGCTACATATTCAGTTGCTCTTTCTAGGTATAATGATAATTGCTAATGAGGATGCTAGACCATAGCTCTAAACATGCCTAATAGAAGGTAAGCCACTAAATGCAGCAGGAGTTGATAATTGCTAATGAGGATGCTAGACAAGGCCATAGCTCTAAACATGCCTACTAGAAGGTAAGCCACTAAATGCAGCAGGAGTTGCTTCTCAGCAAATAAGCATATATCTGTAGAGAAAATGCACTTATAAAATATAGTAGATGGTGAAAGGGGAAAAAAAGCCTTCAGAGTTAGATGGCATTTTGACAAAGTTGTTACACAAATAGTACTGTAATGTACTTTTTCAGTTTGCTGTAAAAAGGATCAATTTTGTTACTTGTCAAAAGGAAAGGAGGCTTTCTATATCTTAAAAGCCTGCCTGATATACAACCCCCAAAATATGTGTATAGTCAGGATTGTGGCTAGAATATTTAATAACTGCTTAATCAATGTTACAAACATTTAAAGCTTGATGGTGTTTTATGTCACTTCTGTAGACATTTACGGAAAAGCTTGTTGCATAAAGCATAAAGGCTGGTCCCAGCTGAGAAGGTTCCACTGGCATAAGAAAATGTAGTTACACCATGATTACTTTAAGGGTCTCATACCAGTCCAAACTTTTGGGATTGTGGCAAGGTTCAGATTTAGGTTCAAGATTCAAAGGCAAGGATGGTTGATACCTCCACCAGACCACCCAAAACTAAATACTGCCTAGAGTGGTCGTTGACTAGATAGGCGGGATATAAATGCAATAAATAAATAAATACTTAGTAGTGTTTTTTTTACATAAACCCAGACTGTTGGTAAATAAAGGTGAAAGTAGATGACTTTTTATTTTACATATTTAGAAGAGATGCTCCCTCGTGTAATGAAAGATGTCTATCGTAGCCTCATCCCCATCTCTTGATTTGTTTTCTCATTAGGCATTAGGAAGTAACATAGGCTTAATATACAGGTCTGGTTGCCAAGGCCCATATGTCTAGACTGACTACAGGGAATGCCCATTCCCCTCGCCCCATTTTTAGCCAGCCATAAGAAAGTGCTGGCTCTTTTCACATGGGCTCACTAGGGTCATGAGTATAGGTGTTTTGTGTCTGGAGCAGAAAAGCAACCTCCTGAAATTCTGGGTTGTTTCACTACATGCCCAATTCACAACCTGCCCATAGTCATAAGATTGTAAGGAGGGCCATGCTGAATCAAACTGAAGACTTGTCTAATCCCACATTCTGTTCATCCACTGGACAGTCACCTGCCAATGGGAAGATCCAAAGCAGAAGGTGAGAACAGTCGCATTCCCCACGTACACATATTACAGTTGCCTTTTGGGGTGAATGTTATCAGAGCTGCTACAATGCATGTCTCCCTTTCATTAAGGTGACAGTTCCACATTAGTGGCTCATGGTGGGTTGTGTAAAAAGATTTCTGAACTGTGTATATGCATGCTCACTGGAAATATAGCCACATCCTGTTATTTGTGAAATATATCCTACACCAACTCCGCCCCCCCCACCTTTTCAGCAACTGTGTTGTGCTACTGTAAAGAAACAAAACAGCAACCAGTTTCTAGATTTCCTGGAAGATCACAATCAATTCAGATTCTAAACCAGTAGAATTGGGTGGCAGAGAATGTTTACCTCAATTCTCTTACATCAAAGTCCCCTTTTCAATAAGTCTTTTGTGGAAATCTCCCCACCCCAGTGAAGCAACCTGGCTTCTGAGAACAGGAAGACGTGACCAGGGAAACTTTGCAAGAAAAAAAAGAAGTCCACAGAATTGCTCGTTGTCCAATTCAGATCACATATCAATGTGTATTTCAGCAAATTTTTTATTTTGTGACTGATGTCTCTTATAGTACCGTTGTTTTCTTCAAAAATCCAAGTATATGGAGATGTACCTACCTATATGAGAAAATCTCTTGGCCACCATTTCCCTTTTTTGCTTCCATTGAATTTCTTTCTCAGATCTCTCCAACTGAAAAAAAAGTCAGATTGTGTAGTACTGGTTTGTTAAGAAAGCTTATGGTTGCTAATATCAATTATAAGTCAGAGAATGAGAGAGAAACATGCTAACTTTCTTAGACAGTTGGTTCATGATATTACTTTTATTTGACAGTTTTCACAGTGCAAGGACAAAATTAAAAGCTTTGAGAAACAATTTATAGACCCTAATGGACCAAACAGAACAAGAGCACTCCCAGGAAAGGACCCCTCTCAACAAGAGCTGTTCAAAAAGATAGAGGAGGTAATGTACATCATTCGCATCTTTTAAAGATCAGTGACAAATAGCCACATTTAGCTACACAGACTGTGAAACCAAGTGGGTGGTGAAACAGACCAAAGTGGACAATGCAAAAAATATATATAAATCTAATTCTGAAAACAAGTGTCTCTGGTTGCATTCATTCATGCAGTCTGTATAAGAATACTTACCCTGTATCCTGATACCCAGACATTGCTGATTGCCCTATCCCACTAGATAGAGGTGTTGACTGAGAAATGTGCAACATGGCTCTATCTGGCCATGGGACAAGGAATACTATGGATTATGAAGGGACTATGGTGGGGATCACACAAGGAAACTGTTTTCAGTAGCAACTAGTATATGGTTCATATAATTTCCTGCTACTTCCAGCATTGTTGCTGGATAACTCAGTGAGTAGGGGATTCGGAGATTGGGAGTTGATTCCCTTCTGTGCCTCTTGGGAGACAAGCCAGGCTGTATAGCCTTGGACAAGTTGCACAGTCCCAAAGTACCCCCAGAAGGGAATGATGGACTACTTCTGAATATTGTATACCTAGAAAACCCTGGAAAGGGTTGCCATCAGTCAGAATTAACTTGACAGAACACAGTAACAATTATTACAAACATGGACCTTTTCTTTCTAAAGTTTTCTTTCTTAAGTTTTCACTGCAAGCTGTGGATTTTTCATGTTTTTGCCTGTTCAAAGCCTCATATTTTTCCATTGGAAAAATACTCCTGTCAGAGAAGAGACCTCTTTAATTACAACCTAGTATGTGAACCAGGAGAGATCAGTAAGGAGAAGGAAATTTTAGCTCATCTCCTTGACAGCATTTCCTTTGAGAAGCATGCCTTTCAGTGGCTCTGGCTCTTCAGCTCTGCTGTGAAATGTATATTCCTCAGTAAAAGCAATGCTCAACATATCCTCTTAGAAGACACTACAATCTTAGAACTGTAGAACTGGAAGGGACCCTATGGATCAAGCCCAGCCCATTTCAAGGAGAAACAATGGAGAACTCTCAACCATCAAAACCATAAACCATTCAGCTATCACAGCAGACACAGTCCTAACATGCATGTTTCTAGCATGTATTACAAGAGCTCATTTTAATTTTTAAAATCTGATCAGTCAAACCCATAAAATTTTGCTGCAGAAGTGCTCTTTTTCAATAAGACCCAGATACATTTGGTAACTCTGTGCTGTTAAAACACTAGAACACTTGTATTGGCATAGGTTTTTGATCCTGAATATTAATTATCTGTATTTTTTTTATTAGTTAGAAATACAGCTGGTGAAGAAGGAAGAGAAATTACTTGAGAAAGACTTTATTTATGAACAGGTTTCCCGGCTGACAGAGAAAATAAAAACTAAAGCAGAAAACAGCAAACAGGATACATTAATACTGGCAAAAAAGGTAAGGCTATGATTTGATTCTAATTCACAACCCCTCTGTGACCCAGGCCTCTTAAGGAAATCCAAATACTGTATATACGTGGACTTCTGCATGTGTTTTTCATGCTGAAACAAAACTGTGCCTCCTACCATTCACATTATTCATTCTTACTGAATTTTGTTCAGTTCAGTGTGCATTCAAACACTACTTGAACCTGTAACTTCCTTTACGTTTTGAAGATCACACATTTGTCTTGTATAAATAGTTAAAGTTGGAAGGGAATGCTAGTATCCAGGCAGCTATTTCAATTGGGAGAAATGTGGTTGAAGATTTATTTTTCTTTCATTTCCATTTATTGTTATTTTCCTTTGTGTGTGTGGGGGGTGTAGTAGTAGTAGTAGTAGTAGTAGTA